AAAAAAAAAAAAAAAGAAAGAAACTCCATGGTGGAACACATCAGAATTTTTAAAAACTCGAGTAACTCCAATGTGCAGACAAGTGTGAGAATCAGTTGGCGAGAGCTTGTCTACAGCATTGCAACAGCCTTGTAACCAGTCACCTCACCTCCAGTCTCTGTATCGCTCTTCCCTTTCCAAGCATGGGAGGAGAGGAGTCGGGGGAGTGGTGTGAGAGCCGCAGGGCCCAGGTGACACAGCGTCTTGTCTCTCTTGCTAAGGACTTTGAGTTTTGTTCTCTGGGTAATGGAAAACTGGTGGAAGGTTTCAACCAGGGTAGTCAATGGAATCAGAAATTCATTTTAACAAGAAAGAACTTTTGGCAGAATGGAATGGAAAGGGTCATATAAGAAAAGTGCTTCTTAACCTTAGCTGCACATTGTGTCATCTGGGGAACTTATTTTGTGGGCTGGGGAGGGGGCACCCTTCTGAGCCAGAGTAGGCTCAGAGTCTCTGATCATCTGGAAACTTTCAGAACTGCTGATGTCTTGGCCTCACCGCCAGAGTCTGATGTAACTGATTGGGGTGGGCCTGGCATCGGGGTTGTTTTGTAAAGCTCCCCACTTGATTCTAATGTGCATCCAGAGTCTTGAGAAGCACGGGACTGAAGATGAGAAGGTTTTGTAATCATCAAGTCAAGAAATGAAGGCCAAACTAAGCTAGCAGCACTTAGAGTTAAAATGTATTACGAAGTTGGGATAGATGGGGCCTGTGAATGTGTGAGTGTACATATGTGTGTGGTGGGTGCTTCTGGTTTGGGTGAGTCACTAGAATAGGAAAAATGGGGAAGAGCAGGTTTGGGGAGAAAAAGGATGAATTTGGTTGTGGCACATTGTCTGAAAGCCCGTGACACATGCACGTGCAGCTGACCAGTGGGCAGCAGGAAACCTTGGTAAGACAAAGTTCTGGGCTGGAGCTCAGATGTGGAAATCCCAGCACAGGGGGGCCAACAAAGAGTCAGGGCATAGATGAGCTCACAGCAGTGGGGAAGAAGACAGTGAGACGAGAAGGTGAGGAGGGAACCCGGCAGCAGCAGCAGCATTTAGGGGGCGGTCAGGGGAAGAGCAGGGTAAGGGAGGCCAAACAGTCAAAGAGAGAAAGGAGGCACCCAGCAAGATCAGCAGAAAGGGCACGAGGTGTCAAGGCTGAAGAGCACTATTAAGAGAGTGGGCTTGCAGAGAAGTTTCCTGGGTGTTAGGCCGATTGAGTTGGGAAAGTGAGACAAACCGTCTCGTCCTCCTTGGAGGCAGGACAGAAAAAGGAGAGGCTGCGGAGTGGTCAGCCAGGGACACTGGACAGAGGGAGACAGCTGAACCCACTTCTATGCTGAGGAAAATATGCAGGCAAGAGGGAAAGAATGAGCCTCAGGAGAGACGGGTTAAAATTGATAACGCTCTGCCTGGGGATATGAGACAACTAGAATCACTGTAGCTCACATTTATCAGGCACTTACTGTTTGCCCAAAATGATGTTAAGTGCTTTATGTGCATCATCTTGTTAGGCCTCACCACAACGTTCTGAGGCAAGAACCATCGCTATCCCCACTTCACAGATGAGGAGATGAGACACAGAGAGGCTCGATAATTTACTCAGGTTACACAGCTAGTGTGATGGGGTCAGGAGGGGGCACAGATTTAGAAAGCAGAGGATTCACTTGGGCGGGGGGAATACCTCATCCCCTGAGCAGTGGTGACAGTAGGAGTCGATATTTCTTCTGTAGGGTGACAGAGCAAGACCCTGTCTCTAACACAAAACAAAACAAAAACCCTACAAACAACACAAACCATCTCGCTAGGAAGGCATTATTAGACAAGGACACTGAGGCTCAAAGAGTTTAACTTGTTTCACTTCACGGGGACCCTTCCCCAACCCCACTGAGGTGGTCTGCCAAGAGCGTTGTTGAGGGTGGTGATGGGGATGAGGGTGAGGAGTGAGGTCTTGAGTGAGTTCCAAGCGTACAATTGTTGGGGAAAATGGGGCATCTTTCTGGTCTCAGTGAGGCCCTGAGTCCTTTGCATTGTGTGTGTAACTATGGCTGTTTCTGGGGTACACACACCTGTTGGCACTGACTCCCTCTGTCATGTGTTTCAGAACAGATAATAACCATTGGCCTGTTCTTCTCCAATTTTGAGCGAAACCCACCCGAGAACACCTTCCTTAGACTCACCGCCATGGCAACACACTCTCAGTCCAGCCTTAGCTGCTTTGCTCAGGAAGACATTGCCATTTGTAGACCGCATCTTGCCATCAAGGTAGGCACCAGTCCTCCCCTGAGTTGCCCTCATCTGCCACCACTCAGGTCCCCATTTCAGAAGGAATCCAAGCCCCTTCAGAGCAGATGACTGTGCTGCAGGATTACCAGAAAATGCTACATTTAAGAGCTCCTTCCCTTGAAAGACATAGTTTCTTACATACCCTATTAAGGTGTAAATCTTCCAACTTCTTTAGTTAGTTAAGTAAAGGTTTCTAAAATTGGGGCCTTCCCAGTTGCTGCCTCCTACCTACAGGGATCATAATAGCCTATGTTTCTTTAGCACTCCATACACATGCCAGAGGGTTTTCACCTCCTCTCTCTCTCTCTCTTCTCTTTCTCTTTTCCTTTCTTTCTTTCCCTTTCTTTCTCTCTCTTTCTTTCTTTCTTTCTTTCTTTCTTTCTCTTTCTTTCTTTCTTTCTTTCTCTCTCTTTCTTTCTTTCTTTCTTTCTTTCTTTCTTTCTTTCTTTCTCTCTTTCTTTCTCGCTTGCTCGCTCTTCTTTTCTTTTCTTCTCTTTTCTTTCTTTCTTTCCCCTGTGAGGTAGAACTGTTCCCATTATTCAGATGAAAAAAACTGAGCCCTACAGAGCAACATGCCCAAGATTATAAAAACAGGACGTTCTAGAGGCTTATGGCTCTTGGTCCAGTCCTCTTTCCATGTGTCTACCCTGGCCAAAATGAATGAGATCTGATCCCTGCCCTCTAGCAGGTTATAGTTTAGTTAGGGAGACACAACATTTGGTCTTCCAGGTAAGTGCTTTAATAGATGCACAAAGTTGCTATGGAGTAAGTGAAGCAAAGGGGATTAATTCCAGCTGATGGGTTCGGGGATGACATTATGAAAGGGATGACATTATGAAAGAGATGACATCTATGCTGAGCCTTGAAAAATGGGTACCCTTTCAGTACAGAGGTAGGGGAAGGCCACTGAAGACAGAAGAAGACAACAAAGAGGTGCAATGGAAGGTAGCCTGAGGGGTGTGCTGGGGATGGGACAGTCCCTGACGGGGCTGGGATGTCACTTAGTCATGGGAAGAACAGGTGAGGTGGGAGAGGGGGGTTGGGGGCACACCGTGAAGAATGTTGAATACAATGTAAACTGAATTCCGAAGACGGTGGAAAACCCTCCAAGGGGTCTGCCTAGAGGAGAGGCAAAGTCAGAAATCATCAGTGATGGACCAAGGGTGGGAATAAACGCAGGAGGAGCAGGTAGAGCGGCAGAAAATGTCAGCTGTGAAGCTTCGGTCAGCTCGGCAGAGATGAGGAAACTTACTGAGGAGGGTACAGGGGTGCATGGGAGGAGAGAGTGACTGCGGCTGTGCCCTTGGCATCCACACCAGGTATTGCCTCTTCCCACAGATGCCAGAGAAAGCAGAGCAGTATCAACCCCTCACAGCCTCAGTCAGCATCCAGAACTCCCTAGATGCCCCCATGGAGGACTGTGTGATCTCCATCCTGGGAAGGGGGCTCATTCACAGAGAGAGGAGGTACAGGTAAGCAAAGACAGGCTTCTAATCCTCCTGAAATGTCTCAATGGGTCAGAAAGGTGGGGCCCAAGAGAGAGACTCTCTCTTTGCCATGTCCATGCAGACAGCAGATACCCCCAGAAACTGAACTAAAGGATTAGGGCTACCAAGTGGCTTCCCTCATCTTGGGACCACCATATCTGCAAGAGGATGGGAGTGAGGAAGGCTGTGTGGGCCCCCTGGGCACCCACCTGCCCTGGCTGCTGCCCTGATCCTGCAGGGAGAGCCTGCGTGTTGCTGTGAATGTAGGCGAGGGCATTAGGGCTAGGTATTGGAGAGTAATGAAGGGAGGCCAGGCTATCTCTCATTGTGGTCAGAGGGCTACATTCTGGTAGTCACCACCACAATACACAATTTTGTTTGATTTATTCCCTTTTATTCCCATTTTCACCACCACCCTTCATATCCTTTAATTCGTGTATGCAAAATGTGTACTGTTGCTTTCATGAGCCTGTATTTTTAACTTTATATATAAATTTATATTTAATTGCTTTTCTTTTCACTCGGAACTATGTTCTTAAGATTTATGCCCATACGTCTTCTGCTACAAAATACTTCATCATGTACACCCGCCACTTTCTACCACTCCACTCCACAGAGATGGGCACCCAGAGTGCCTCCAACTCTCTGACACTGCAAATAATGTTGCAGTGAACATCCTCACACAAGTCTCCTTATATACTTGTTTGAAAATTTGGTGGAGTCTGGGGATATATATACCCAGGAATAGAATTGCTGGGTCACAGGATATGATGTGGTTTGACCAGGTACTGTCAGATTTGCAGAATGGCTGCAGGAGTCTCCACTCCCTCCAGCAGTACATGAGAGTTTCTATATTCCTACCTCTCCTTCATTCCTGGCAATACCCAGCTATTAACATTTTCTTCCAGTCTAATAAAAATGAAGTAATATCTTACTATTATTTTAATTGCAACTCTGCATATGTTTGTTAGCCTTTTATGTCTTCTCCTCGGTAAGTAGTTTGTCTTTATTTTGCCCACTTTTCCTTTGGTGTTTCTGCACTTCCTTCTTATTGATTTGTAGAAGTTTCCTGTAGAGTCCAGGTATTAGTCCCTTGTTGGTTTTAGATGTTGCAAATATCTTCTTTCATTATGTCTACTGCATCCTTAGTTGAACAGACAGTATAAAGTTCAAGATACTTACTCCTACCATCGCTGAGGTCCCTAGCAGGTGTTTGGGTTACTGAGCCACTGCCTCAGCCTCATGAAACTTAATGAGTCATTCTTGCCAAGAAATCGAGAGGAGGGACTGTCAACATTTAACCAGACTTTTGTGATCTCCCAAATCGGTTGTGGGGCAAAGCTCCCCAAAGGAAGTCTGTCACCAAAAGAAGGTTTATAGGCAGGTCAGGAGGTTGCTGACAAGGCTCCAAACACCACCTGCTGACATACTGACACCCTCTCCATAAGCCTGCTACACCCACTGTGCTTAACAATAAGCAAGGGTTCCAAAGCTATAGCTCTCTGTATTAGTTTGTTTTCACGCTGCTAATAAAGACATACCCGAGACTGGGAAGAAAATGAGGTTTGATTGGACTTACAGTTCCAAATGGCTGGGGAGGCCTCAGAATCATGGCGGGAGGCGACAGGCACTTCTAACAGGGTGGTGGCAAGAGAAAATGACGAAGAAGCAAAAGAGGAAACCCATGAGAAACCTATCGGCTCTCATGACACTTACTCACTATCACGAGAATAACATGGGAAAGACCAGCCCCTGTAATTCAATTACCTTCCCCTGGGTCCCTCCTCTGAGGAATGGGTGATAGAACTCAAGTTGAGATTTGGGTGGGGACACAGCAAAATCATATCATTCCACCCCTGGCCCCTCCAAATCTCATGTCCTCACATTTCAAAACCAATCATGCCTTCCCAACAGTTCCCCAAAGTCTTAACTGATTTCAGCATTAATCCAAAAGTCCACAATCCAAAGTCTCACTTGAGACAAGGCAAGTCCCTTCTGCCTATGAGCCTGGAAAATCAAAAGCAAGCTAGTTACTTCCTAGATACAATGGGGGTACAGGTATTGGGTAAATACAGCCATTCCAAATGGAGGAATTGACCAAAACAAAGGAGTTACACGACCCATGCAAGTCCAAAATCCAGCAGGGCAGTCAAATTTTAAGGCTCCAAAATGATCTCCTTTGACCCCAGGTCTCCTATCCAGGTCACATTGATGCAAGAGGTGGGTTCCCATGGTCTTGGGCAGCTCTGCCCCTGTGGCTTTGCAGGGCACAGCATCCCTCCCAGTTGCTCTCATGGGCTGGCGTTGAGTGTCTGTGGTTTTTCCAGGCACACAGTGCAAGTTGTCAGTGGATCTACCATTCTGGGGTCTGGAGGATGGTGGTCCTCTTCTCACAGCTCAACTTGGCAGTGCCCCAGTAGGGACTCTGTGTGGGGACTCTGACCCCACATTTCTCTTCTGCACTGCCCTAGCAGAGATTCTCCATGAGGGCCCCACCCTTGCAGCAAACTTTTGCCTGGGCCTCCAGCAATTTCCATAGATAATCTGAAATCTAGACGGAGGTTCCCAAACCTCAGTTCTTGACTTCTGTGTACCCACAGGCTCAACACAGCTTCCATGTGTTGGCCTTCCATGCCAAGGCTTGGGGCTTCCACCCTCTGAAGCCACAGCCCAAGTTGTATGTTGGCCCCTTTCAGCCACAGCTGGAGTGGCTGGGACACAGGGCACCAAGTCCTTAGGCTGTATACAGCACAGGAACCCAGGGCCTGGCCGACTAAACCACTTTTTCCTCCTGGGCCTCTGGGCCTGTGATGGGAGGGGCTGCCATGAAGTTCTCTGACATGGCCTGGAGACATTTCCCCCTTGATCTTCAGGATTAACATTAGGCTCCTTACTACTTATGCAAATTTCTGCAGCCAGCTTGAATTTTTCCCCAGAAAATGGGTTTTTCTTTTCTATTGCATAGTCAGGCTGCACATTTTCCAAACTTTTATGCTCTGCTTCCCTTATAAAACTGAATGCCTTTAACAGCACCCAAGTCACCTCTTGAATGCTTTGCTGATTAGAAATTTCTTCCACCAGATACCCTAAATCATCTTTCTCAAGTTCAAAGTTCCAAAAATCTCTAGGGCAGGGGCAAAACGCCACCAGTCTCTTTGCTAAAACATAACAAGAGTCACCTTTGCTCCAGTTCCCAACAAGTTCCTCATCTCCATCTGAGACCACCTCATCCTGGATTTTATTGTCCATATTGCTATCAGCATTTTGGGCAAAGCCATGCAACAAGTATCTAGGAAGTTTCAAGCTTTCCCACATTTTCGTCGTCTTCTGAGCCCTTCAAGCTGCTCCAATCTCTGCCTGTTACCCAGTTCCAAAGTCACTTCCACATTTTCAGGTATCTTTTCAGCCATGCCCCAATCTACTCATACCAATTTACTGTATTAAGTTTGTTTTCATGCTGCTGATAAAGACATACCTGAGACTGGGAAGAAAAAGAGGTTTAATTGGACTTACAGTTCCATATGGCTGGGGAGGCTTCAGAATCATGGCAGGAGGCATAAGGCACTTCTAACAGAGTGGTGGCAAGAGAAAATGAGAAAAAAGCAAAAGCAGAAACCCCTGATAAGTCCACCAGATCTCATGAGACTTATTCACTATCACGAGAATAGCATGGGAAAGACCAGCCCCCATGATTCAATTACCTCCCCCTGGGTCCCTTCCACAACTCATGGGAATTCTGGGAGATAGAATCCAAGTTGAGATTTGGGTGGGGACACAGCCAAACCATATCATTCTTCCAAACAAACTCCAGTATGATTACCAGGAATTGAACCAGAAGGAAGTCACAGATGACAGAAGGAACAACAGATGTAGCTTGGAAGCCCTTAGGATGTATCTCTTCTCAACCATGCAGTTGCTTAGCATTGGGCGGTTCCTGTCTTCTATTCCTTTATAAACACTTCCGTTTTAATAGCAAGGTACTTAGATGTTTATTTCTGCATGATCCACCTCTTCAAGCAAGGAAAGATCAAAGTCACTGGGACCAGCAGAGCAATGAACCTGGGACAGAACTAGCACCTGCCTTTTCCTTTATTTCAGATTTGGTTCAGTGTGGCCTGGAAACACCATGTGTACCGAGTTCCAGTTCACGCCGACACATGTGGGGCTCCAGAGGCTCACTGTGGAAATGGACTGCAACATGTTCCAGAACCTAACCAACTATAAAAATGTCACCGTGGTAGCCCCTGAACTTTCAGCTTAAATTTCCAGCTCTATCACCACTCTCCTGCCAACCCTTGCTCTACAATCTAAACCAAACATGTGCTAGGAAGAGAAACTTTGCGTCTCAGTGTTTGTGTTGCTATAAAGGAATACCTGAGGCTGGGTAGTTTAAAAGAAAAGAGGTGTATTTGGCTCATAGCTCTGCAGGCTGTACAAGAAACAGTGAGGGCTTCAGGATGCTTCTACTCATGCAGGAAGGTGAAGGGAGCCAACGTGAGCAGAGATCATAGGGCAAGAATGGGTGGCGGGGGGTGGGTGGCGGGGGGTAGGTGCCAGGTGCCAGCCTCATTTTAACAGCCAGCTCTGGGGTGGGGGAGGGACGTATAGAGCAAGAACTCACTCATTACCCCAAGGACGCAACCAATCCATCTATGAGGGATCCAAACACCTCCCATTAGGCCCCACCTCCAACACTGGTGATCAAATTTCAACATGAGGTTCGCAGGGTTGAATATCCAAACTACATCACTTTATCAGACAAATGAATAGTCGTTCGGGATAAGCAGAAGAGTGACCAAGAACAAAACCAGATTCCCAGAAATCAATAGACAAGATGTTTATTTCTGTTACCTCAGCTAAGGCAGCCATGAAGACCAGCTGTCTTACAATAGACACTACTGGGCTGAAATGACAAAAAGAAGCCTTTGAAAAGGTGCTCAGTTACCTTTAAAGAGTACATTCAGATTGTTCAGGTTCAGGTTTTTCACAACCATTTTACTGCTCATTAATACATTCATAACTTACGGGTAAGGGAAAGGATCTAACACTTAAATCATTCTTATATTTCTGATGAAGTGGGATATTATCCCAAAATGGAATTTTTAGGTAATCTCAAAATTACATTGATCAAGCTGGGCTCGGCGGCTCACACCTGTAATCCCAGCACTTTGGGAGGCTGACGTGGGCAGATCGCCTGAGATCAGGAGTTCGGGCGGGGTGGCTCACGCCTGTAATGCCAGCACTTTGGGAGGCTGACGTGGGCAGATCACCTGAGGTCAGGAGTTCGAGACCAGCCTGGCCAACATGGTGAAATTCCATCTCTACTAAAAACACAAAAATTAGCTGGGCATGGTGGTGTGCATCTGTAGTCCCAGCTACTCGGGAGGCTGAAGCCAGACAATCGCTTGAGAACCTGGGAGGCGGAGGTTGCAGTGAGCTGAGATTGTGCCACTGCACTCCAGCTTAGGGGACAGAGTGAGATTCCATCTCAAAAAAAAAAAAAAATAGATAAATAAAAATAAAATTCACTTTTTACATTCTAGCATCACAGAGCTAGTAAAGATAAAACATGACTGAACGAAGTTATACAATATAGGACCTGAAAGAAAAATTCAGCTACATATAGGGTTTTTTTTTTTTTTTTTTTTTTTGAGACGGAGTCTCGCTCTGTCGCCCAGGCTGGAGTGCAGTGGCACAATCTCAGCTCACTGCAAGCTCCGCCTCCTGGGTTTACGCCATTCTCCTGCCTCAGCCTCCCGAGTAGCTGGGACTACCGGCGCCCGCCACCTCGCCCGGCTAGTTTTTTGTGTTTTTTAGTAGAGACGGGGTTTCACCGTTTTAGCCAGGATGGTCTCGATCTTCTGACCTCGTGATCCACCCGTCTCGGCCTCCCAAAGTGCTAGGATTACAGGCTTGAGCCACCGCGCCCGGCCCTTGGTCTTTATATTAGAGTTCTATATTCATTAAGTATCCCACAATTAAAGTCTGATGTTAATAACATGAATTTGGTCCAGCAGAGAAATATAAAAGTATATAAAACATAGGCTCTATATGAAAGGATAAAAGAACTAGTCTCCTGTTGTACAAAGTTATTTTGTTTATGTTATTTTGTTGCCTTGGCACTCTATCAGTTTGATTCTAGTTCCTTCCCTTTATGACACTTGTTAACAGTACAAAATGGCACTTCAAAACAGTCAATTAAAACTCATTTGGCTTAAAGAATTTCAACCCCAAGTATACATTAGTCACTCAAAGAATGACTGCTGTTGCTGATTATACCTAAAGAGGGCAGAAAGGCATATGTGATGAATTACACCTACAGAAGGAAGATGATGGGCATGAGAGGTGCCGGAGACCTGTAGGACATGCGTAAGGCCCTATTCAGCTCACCAGAATATACATCATTACAGGTTTACGCTGCTTTCCAATATGCAGTCTTCTAGACCGATGCAAAAGTACAATTAAGTGATGGTTTTGCAAAAGGATGAACTGAAAAGGCCCTTAAAATTACACAAAATCTCTAATACACTAAAAAATTTTAATTTATAAAAATTTGGTATTTACATTTGGGGACACACATAACAGAGGACAACACAAGTATGTATAAAGAAAATAAATCTGTTCAATAAGGTGGGCAAACGTAACAAATGAGCTCAATGCCAATATATTTGTGAGACAGGGAGTAATCTGGGATAATATTCAGAAGGACTTGCTGATAATAACATGTAACATGGTGAAATACTAAGATGAATTTTGGAGTAATCTTTTATAAATAAAGTGTTTTGTTCTAAATATACTTCTGATCAGAATCAGATTTTTAAACCTACAAACCCAAATGAAAGCAATGTTCTAGTCTCAATCCACTGTATTTCTGGTAAAAAGACACTTTTGAAGGGTACTCGTTTAATCACTGGCAAGTTAGCATTTTATTGAGACCATCAACATCTTTACAATGAAAACAACACACTTTACTGTAAAAAGAGAATAAGGCAGCTTTCCTAGGAATCTCTGAGAAATGACTCAAGAATGAGAAATCATGCAATTATTTTTCATATATAGCACAGAAAAATATATTATATGCATATGGTTTATAAATAGGTGCCAACCTGGCCTAACCAACAATCTTTGGTAATAGTGTCCCTTGCTAAATATAGACAGGCACTCACTTTCAATCCAGCAAGCATTCTAGCTCCATTTTAAAAGCAGACATCAGAGCCTGACCATGATGGTGAGAGGGGGAGAAGAGAGTACAAATGAGCCTGAAAAGTCATAATTCAAGTTCACTCTGAGTGAGCTCCTTGATTCTATTCATGCAATGATCAATGGCATTAATAAGTAAAGGGATCCAACTATCTTCCGGCTGAGGGGTCACATGACTTGCTCTGAGAATAGAATAGGAAAGAAACAAGTTAAACTTGTTAGCGCATCAAGGGAAAACCTACCCTCAGGAGGGAGCACAGGGAAAACTAAAATGTTTTTAAAGGGAAGCTTCTTTGCAGAATCTCAGCTGCCCCACAACTGAAGTTGAAATAAAATCCCACACCCACCCTTTCTCACTCCTTGAAATGGGGGCTAGGGAGTTGAGAATGTCTGGACAAGAGTTCCGTTTTACTCTCAAAAAGCTATCTGAGAAGCCTTCATACTTACTTTGTAATTTCAAGTGCCTTCTTTAAAACAGATACAAGTTTTGCAGACTAGAAAAGAAACACAGAAGTTATTCACCCCGAGCCCTACCATAAAAAGGTGAGCTCAAATATTTTAAAAGACCCAAGTAATAAAAAAATCATTTAGAAAAAGAATCTGAAGGAAGTATGCAAAACTTAAAAATGCTGATTAGGTTAGGGTGGCAGGAATACGGGTTCTTTTCATTTAGCAAGATCTTGTTAATACCATTGCTATAACAGTTTAATAAATTTTTTAGATCTAAAATATTTTCAATTTAAAAAAGGACAGAAAAAGGAAAATGTAACCTAAATTGGTCCCAAATGCTAATAGCTCAAAATATAAAGCAGAAATGACTAAGGCTCCTTTTTTTTAAAAAAAAAAAAAAAGCATAAAGAATTTTAAGAACACCAATATAAGGATAACATGGAGACGTTTAACATAAAATATCAATACATATAAGATGCATATGCAGTACACATTTTAAAATTGCTAGAGCAGATACTATGTTTGGGATAGCTGACTAAAAACGTTTGTTTCTTGGGAAGTCAATTTTTTAAAAGTTAATGCCAAAAAAAGTTAATGCCCAAAAGGATCCTATTCTACTTCAAGGTGTTTGTACATCATGAAGACACTTCTGATGAATCTAATTTCCATTATTCAATTTATCAGTTATTACTAGAATTGATACATTTGATTGTAAAATATAAGCTATTTGGCAGTTTTACTGCTCTTTCCAATACCATTAGAGAGAACAGAAGTCTCTCTAGCAAAGGGCACAGCACAGAACTTCAAAGAATACAATAAAATCAGATTTTTATAAGAAACTTGACTCTCCATGGTTAAATCACACTGTTTGTATTAGAACAGAGTATGTTTCTGGAACACTTATTTCTGCCTCAACTACAAATCAGAAACTTGTGACCTCAGCCAGCTACTTCATGAACAGCTAGAGTTCAATCTAATTGCTGCCTAGTCTAGAAATTAGAAACTTGTGACTTCAGGTTGAGAAGTTCCTAAATTACTCTGTAATTAAGACTTTCTTTTCAAAGAAGCATTTTCTTTTTTTTTTTTTTTTGAGACAGAGTCTTGCTCTGTTGCCCAGGCTGGAGTGCAGTAGTGCAATCTCAACTCACTGCAACTTCCACTTTCCGGGTTCAAGTGATTCTCTTGCCTCAGCCTCCCGAGTTAGCTGGGATTATAGGCACATGATGCCCGGCTAATTTTTGTATTCCTTTTTTTTTTTGAGATGGAGTCTCGCTCTGTAGCCCAGGCTGGAGTGCAGTGGCGCCATCTCGGCTCACTGCAAGCTCCGCCTCACAGGTTCACGTCATTCTCCTGCCTCAGCCTCCCAAGCAGCTGGGACTACAGGCGCGCACCACCACGCCTGGCTGATTTTTTGTATTTTTAGTAGAGACGGGGTTTCACCGTGTTAGCCAGGATGGTCTAGATCTCCTGACCTCATGATCCGCCCACCTCGGCCTCCCAAAGTGCTGGGATTATAGCCGTGAGCCACCACGCCCGGCCTTTTATTCTTAGTAGAGACAAGGTTTCGCCATGTTGGCCAGGCTGGTCTCAACTCCTGACCTCAGGTGATCCGCCGGTCTCAGCCTCCCGGAGTGCCAGGATTACAGGTGTGAGCTACCACGCCCAGACTTAAAGCAGCATTTTCTA